AAGGACTATGTTGCTGAAAGTCATACAGTACATTTTTCTACTTAAAAGGTTGCATCACTTTCAGCAACAAAGTTGAAATTGCTGAAAGTGAATTTCAACAACATACCCCATGTTACTAAAATTTTCTGATCATTACATAGTGCATGTTACCACCTAGAAGTGAGTCCCACTTTGTAATATCCCAAATTTTCGAGAATATTTAAGTGTAAGATAAAGACTTGATTGTGAGAAAAGATTGTTTTGGGCTTAATAGCCAACATTTCCAAACTTGAGGGACTTAAAAGAGGAGAATTTGGATAAGGATGGCTTATTTCTTTTCTCCCTTTTCCTCTTTCTTCTCCAGGCCGATTCTGCTCTTCTTCTCCTTTCTTCCCGCTGCAGCCAAAGAAAAGGGGAACCCAGCCAGCTTTTGAGAAACCGGTGAGATAAGCTTGGTTTTCTCCCTCCTTTCTTGCTCTAGAACACACCTAGAACCCAGAAATCTTCCCCCCCCTGCTGGAAAATCCGGATCTACCCTGCTTTGCTCTGTCCTTCCGCCGGCTGCTCCTGCTTTGTGGGGGTGATTTGCTCCGGTTTTGGGTAAGAAACAGCTACCAATCCCTTTGTTCTTGCTTGAATTAACTTGGGTTTACCTTAATTTCCTCTTGGTTCTCCAATTTTTGAGGTAGGCCGTGAGTTTCTCCCCAAATTGCCGCCGGCTTCTCCCTCACCAGCCAAGCCCGATTTTGCTTGCTGGAAAATTCTGGTATGTGGCAGCCTTTTTAGGCTTAATTTGTCTATTTTGTTTGCTGCCTTGTGTGTCTGAAATTCTGCAGAAAAATGGGGAAATTCCGGTAGCAATTAAGAGGGATTTAAGTGTGTTTTGTTGCTTAATTCAAGTGAGATTTATGTGATTGAGTGTTAGTTGGTTGTTGTGATTTTTGGAGGAAAATCTTGTGGAATTAGCTAGTGTTTTGGCCAACTTTTGGAAGTGCAGTTACTGTTCACGTCGAGGTACTGTTCACCGGTTACTGTTCACACCACGAGGGCCAACATTTAATGGGGATTTAAATGATTAGTTTGTGATATGAGAACGAATTTGGAGATGTCCGATCATGTGGAAAGTGATAGAAATAGCATTATGATTAGGAATTATCCTAATGATGATTTTCGTGTGAATTTGTGATAGTCCGATATTAATTCTGAGGTGTTTTGATTAGGTTTCCGATCGTTCTGTCAGTTAGTGCGTGAATTGAATGCTCCGTTTATGCGAGTGAGGTAAGTAATTTATGATAATGCCCGTACTGTTTTTAAAAGTATGTTTTGATTTGTTTTTGAAGTGGTGGCGGGACTAAACCCATTTTACACAAATATGACTGATTTGAAGTGAAATGTTTTGTGCTTTTCATGAAATTGAGCATGCCTACTTGAAATTTGATTGATTGTCCTAATGATTTGAAAGTGATTGTGAATCGTGATTTTTCTGTTAACTTCTGCCTGTTTTGTCTCCGATATGGTCATGTTATTCGTGTGCCCGCTAGTGGGAGGTTTATAAACGCTAGCACATGTCGACATGTTACTGATAGAACCGGTTCGTTTCTGTAACCCTACTAGTTGGGGTTAAACACTAGTAATTTCTGTAGCCTGTCAGTGGGAGGTTTATAACACTGGCCGTGACCTATAGAGGAGACGTCTATTTCGTGCCCATACTGTATCTGTTTTTCGTGATTGTACTTGTTGGCATGCTATAAGTTTAATAAGGGCACTCCATATTTTACTTACTGAGTTTATCTCATAGTTTTTCCTTGTCCACCATTTCAGGAATCGAAACCGAGGACGGGGAAACCACGGGAAGTGACGAGTTAGAAAACTAGCCATATTGTAATTGGATATAAATTTTATATATGAATCATGATCTTGTATTTGGAGATTTTATGATATCAGATTGAATTTTAAAGATTTGATCTTCAGATTTTGATGGTATCAAAGTGTGAATTTGATAAGTTCCGAGCCTTGTATATTTGTGGGACCCGTCTCACGAGTGCACGACGTCTGTCACGTCTCAAAATTGGGTTTTGGGGCGTGACACACTTTCAGCAACATGGGGTATATTATTGAAAGTGAATTTCAGTAACATACCTCTTGTTGTTGGAACTTTTCAAGCACCTAGAGCATTAGCAACATACCCCTTGTTGATGTTATTCTTATAC